ACAACAAAACGTGGAACTTATTTAACCAAACATAATTCTCATTCATCAAGAAATAAAAAGTGTAATATCCACTAAAGCAAAGCTTAAGTATATAACACCAACAATAGCCACCCCCGATTACGTATGGCCCACCTGTCAAGGCCTTCACCGCATCGTCCTGAAGCCGAAAATGGATGAGGTAGTAGCCGTTCTCTAGGTCCATCATGTTGCATCCCGCCATGAATGACCACATCTTGGTCAAGCGATTGTATAAGGAAGCCATGGTGATGGAATCATCGAAAGGTTTAATAATCACCACATTCTTCCACTCCTTCTCAATTTGTTCAATGAACCGTTGAGTGATTATTATGTCCGGCTCCTTGCTAGTCAGATCAACAGAAATTTCATCCTCTTCCTCCACAGCTACTACATCCTCTTCATCGTCCATATCCACATACGACCAATGTTTATTTACCATATCTCGGAACGACCAGCGCTTTGGGGGAGGCCCCTCTGTTGCAGGCTGGACGTCGGGAGATTCTATCGGTGAAGCTTGGTTCGTGGGATTCTGCTGCTCTAGGAACTCCCCTAGTCTCTTGCGGGTTTTCAGTCGTTTTTACATCGGGGGTACGTTAGCAGACAATGGTGGAAATTCCGTCTCCATGCATTGTGACGGCGGGTCGGCGCCGGGATCGATTATCGCCGGTCCAGGGTTGAGACTTGTGAGAGCAGTGTTCCTCGCACTCATTTTCAATGGAACTTTTGCAATTGGAAATGCGTACTTTTTCTTTAGCAAATAGGTATCAAGACAGAAATGTAATTTTAACCTATAGAAAGACCATTTATTAGTTGGCTAGAGAGTTAGGTTAGAAATAAAAATCATTTGAACAAATGAACTTAAAATTGGAGATTTTATTTATACATAGCCCGTAAAAAGATTAATAAATATAATTAAAAAGAACGAATTTTTTGTTCAGGAGACGTGAAGTAGACTGTACACTTTATTATCAATAAAATAATAATCTATATATATATATATATATATATTAAAAGCCAACTTATTTACCAAAAACAGTAGCAAGAAAAGTCAACATACATTTAATGCATACTTTATTTGGAAAGTTTTTACTATATGCATTAAATGCTTGCATATTTACATTTACTATCCAAATATGATCTTAAAGATTTTTTCCTTAAATAATTTATGCAATGATTTTACTGATATCCATTATGATTAATATTGGTCGAATAATATTTTTTAACCTTCATTTAATTATATAACACTGATATTTTTTAAAAAATTAATATTATTTATTATTTAAAAGATAATGATCACATAATTAAATGATTTTATTGATGGTTAGATAATAAAATTATATTAGTTATTTTTTAAAATTTCGACATGTTATTTATTTGTATATTATTGTCAACTATGATAGTATTTTTATCACTTTTTTTGTTATGTTTCAAAAATGAACTTATTGTAAAATATTTTTCTATTGCATAGTATGTTAAATAAACTATAAAGCCTTAGGATGAAAAAAAGAATTATTATGAGAAAATTGAATTCTAAAAAACATGTGTGTGTATTTGTAAACATTTATACTCAAAATTTTATTTTGAATTTCATTACATAAAGAAGATTACTTCTATAACTTTTATAAATAATAATCATTACATTATATGACTGTAAATTTTATAATAAAATAATAATCTATATCTATATATATATTAAAAGCCAACTTATTTACCAAAAATAGTAGCAAGAAAAGTCAACATACATTTAATGCATACTTTATTTGGAAATTTTTTACTATCTGCATTAAATGCTTGCATATTTACATTTATTATCCAAATATGATCTTAAAGATTTTTTCCTTAAATAATTTATGCAATGATTTTACTGATATCCATTATGATTAATATTGGTCGAATAATATTTTTTAACCTTCATTTAATTATATAACCCTAATATTTTTTAAAAAATTAATATTATTTATTATTTAAAAGATAATGATCACATAATTAAATGATTTTATTGATGGTTAGATAATAAAATTATATTAGTTATTTTTTAA